ATAAAAAAAAAATTTAGAGTGGGCCCGACATGTAGAAGGGAAGTTTTTCATATTTGAATGCCGCACGGTCTAGCCATCGAATAGCTACTACCTACACTGCCGTATGCGTTTATACCTAGTAGATGCGAGTAAACGAATATAAAATGATAATTTAAAATGTAAAATTATGTTTGAGTAGTCACTGATGTATTTTAAATATTTACACTGCCGCACGATATAGTTTTTAACTGTATTTTTTGCACAAATTGTTTAAGCATGGGTCTACATAGATTTCGCAAGGAGGATCGATGATATTAAATAAAAAATTTATTGTTATAACTGTAACGGCTTGCCTATAAGCCTTTACGGTTATAACAATACATTTTTTATTTAATATCATCGACTCTCCTTGCGAAATCTATGTAGACCCATGCTTAAACAATTTGTGCAAAAAAAATACAGTTTATATACAAAAGTGCTCTTTTAGTTCCACCCTTACTTCTTAAGAAGTCCCATAAGCCAACTGAATGGCTTGTGCGGGTTAGGGGTATGAACGGACCGCGGGCTTAAAGTCCCCTCCGAAGGACTAATACACAATAAAAAAAACTATATCGTGCGGCAGTGTAAATATTTAAAATACATCATTGACTACTCAAACATAATTTTACATTTTAAATTATCATTTTGTATTCGTTTACTCGCATCTACTAGGTATAAACGCATACGGCAGTGTAGTAGCTATTCGATAGCTAGACCGTGCTGCATTCAAATATGAAAAACTTCCCTTCTACATGTCGGACCCACTCTAATTTTTTTTTTTATTCAAAGGTAACATAATAAACTTGGATTTTATACTACTTTAAAAAAAATTAAAAAATACACATTGTTTCAAAAAATGTAAAATTTTGCAAAATTTCAAAAAAAAATTGCAATTTTTATTTTTTTTTGCAAAACGGTATGGCCCATTGAAAAGTACGGAAAAAATCATTTAAGGTGGTTAAATTGAAATATTTAATAAAGAGATGAACAGAAGTTATGAATTTTTAAATAAAAAGCGATTTCACAAAAAAGTAAAAAATCGATAAATTTCAATAATCCATAACTCTTGAATGAACAATCCTAGAGCAAAAAAAAAATATGCTATAATTCTTCGTTATAAGAACAACAAATAAGTAAAGTTTAAACAAAATCGGTGACAAAATTTTTTTCACCTGGTACACTTGGCAAATTTTGCCCCATATGCGCAGAAGTAAATTTAAGAAAAATGTATTATTTAAAACAATAATTAACATTAAATCAACAGTAGTCGGCTCTGAAAACAATTTATAACAAATGTTCGAAATGTCGTCCTTCCATTTCGACACTAGCGTCCCTGGTCGGTAAACGTTTGGTGTGGTACCTTTGGCGAACGGGATTAAATGGTGAAAAGTACCGGAATTTTCTAGAAAACGATCTGCCAGACTTCTTCCTGTGGGGTTACTTGAAAGAAAAAGTTTAAGCTGCAATTCCTACAACTCGGAAGGACATGGTGGAGCCAGAATTCCTTACCCGCATTCAAAAATGTTTCGAAATGAAAGGATGACATTTTGAACATTTGTTATAAATTGTTTTCAGAGCCGACTATTGTTCATTTAATGTTAATTTTTGTTTTTCAAACGTTTCAAATAATACATTTGGGGTCATCCATTAATTACGTGAGGCAATTTTGGCGATTTTTCGACTCCCCCCCTCCCCTTGGTGAGATGTCTTGAGATTTTGCTCGACCCCCTCCCCCTCCCTTAATCTCACGTGAGATTTTTTTAAAATGCATGGTTTTAATGTAAATTGATTCCGTTAGATTTATTAAAAAAACAATTTGCTTATAATTGTTTCCTTAATTTAACCCAGATTTCTCGCAATTTTACACTGTTTTATTCGAAAAGAAAAAATACGTGATATTTTCCGAGACCACCCTCCCCCCACGTGAGATTGGGTGAGGTTTGGCTACAAGTAAACCCAATTTTCTTAAATTTTGAATTACAGCGCCATCTGTTAATAAATTGAAAAAAAGTTTCAATTAAAGTTATTAATTTTTTTATGTACTACCAAAATCTGTGAAAAAAATCGGGTCATTGCATTTGACTTTCTAAAGTTACCCCCCGTTTCACCCTTAAGGAGGGGTAGGGGGTGGCTAGCGGTAGCACCAAATAATGTCCCCTTTTTTTCTGTGAAATGCGTATTTCACGAGATATTGAGCTGTCTCACGTTAAAAAAACACCTATTATAGTATAATACTAGATGAAACTACTCGACATAGATCCAACCATTTGATTCAAATGCGCGACATTTTCGGCGTAAAAAGTCTTACTTTATTAGTGTGGTCTTTACATACATTTTTTTTATTTCCAGTTTAAATTTCTATATGAAAAAATATAAACGAATTCGGATTTCATTTCAAATAATTTTTGTATTCATACTTAGGTACTTTTACCACGAGAGAAACGAGACGAGACGAGAGAAAGGCACTCTCGAGCGAGAAAAGAGTATTCTCGACGAGACGAGAGACCCATTTTCTCTCGCTGCACGAGACGAGACGAGAGAAGGACTCGTCTCGTCTCGTCTCGTCTCGCGGCAACACTATCGGCGCTGCTACCTATTTTTTGCGCTTGGCGCTTATGAGGGTGTTTTGGAATCAGAGACCTTTTGGCATTTTGTGTAATATGCATTTAAATGCTCATATTGCGGTTAACGAGGTCGGTGTTTCATTCAAGGAAAAAATTACAAAAAAGCTTGTGTCTGGGGCTGAGGGGGTGTTTTTAGCCCTTAATTACTGTGGGGCTAATATATGAGGGGTTGGGGTTACTATTTTTTGGGGTAGCGAACCTTTTCAGCCACCGATCTCCGAGGCGGTTCCGCAGTCGGCACACCTTTATCTAGACATAAAGGTTTGCAGTCCGCTCGTCACCACGTCATGACGCGTCATGACGTCAGGGAGCGGCAGCTGAAAAATCAAAATTAATTATTTTGCTGGTTTTTTTGACAAAGTGAGAATGGAATACATTATTTGGGGGTTTTTTGGGCCTTATGACGATTTAACATATTTTAAAAATATAATATTTCGGCCGTCGCTACACCTTTATTTGCCAAGATAAAGGTGTGCCGTTATCATTGTTTAGCTGTACCATCACAGACGCATACCTCCAACTGATATTATTAACCTATCGGTATATATGGTTACAGTGGCGGCTGGTGGATTTTGGCACACCCATATCTCAGTTATTAGACATGGGACCCACATCAAATTTATATAAGTTTATAATGACATTATATAGACAAGTTCTGCGCAAGCAGAATTTAAGTTAAAGTTTGCGAAAAAAAGTTAGTTTTTAAGTGCAACCCCCAGCCTCCTGCCCTTCCAAATTAAGATACCTAATTCAAATTAAAGTAATACAATATTTAATTCACTGAAGTTTATTGACAAATTTTAAATTTTATTAAAAAAATTCAAGTATTACATATTTTATACCATTTCAAATTTTTTTAAATTTAGTAAAAGAAATAATAAAAAATAGAAATGGTATAAAATCTGTAATACCTACTTGAATTTTTTTAATAAAATTTGAAACTTGTCGACAAACTTCAGTGAATTAAATATTGTACCACTTTAATTTGAATTATCTTAATTTGGGGGGCAGGAGGCTGGGGGGCATACTTAAAAACTAACTTTTTTTCGCAAACTTCAATTTTAATTCTGCTTGCTTGTTTATATAATGTCATTATAAACTCATATGAATTTGATGTGGGCCCCATATCTAAAAACTGAGATATGGGTGTGCCCAAAATCCAACAGCCGCCACTGTTGTAATTTAAAACCCTCCAGGGGGGGTGTTGAACACCCAAAACCCCCCGTGCGCACGGGCCTGGTACACATTCTTGAAGAATACTTAATTCTCATCAAGATAAAGGTGTTGAAATCAGGCCAAAATATCAATACAAACAAAGGAATATCGCATAAAAAATAGATAACCAATAAAAGCAACGTGCACGCCAGGTAGGTAAATGCCCGCTTGACAGCGCATTGCACCCATGGATATGCTGAATACAAACAACGAAACCGCGTCCACAAACCCACCGTGGAGCCGCGCTCCGTCAGTTCTGAATCAGTGTTGCCAGGCTGGTTTTATTGAAGGTAACAACTTCGTCTTTAAAAAGGTAACAGATTTAGAAAAAAGGTCATTGTTAGCTTCATCTATTTTCAGTAAGTTGTATTAACTACATTTTGGGTCATTGAATATAAATAAGCTTTTTATTTAATGTTTTGGATAGGTCATTTATTGGAAACTGTTTACCTGATTTAAAGCTAAAACTTTTGAGCTTATAGATTGCTGTTCTTCCTTCTTTCCTCCCGTAAAAAATGAACAGTACGAAAATCGTAGTGCCATTTATAAATTCCCGTATTTGAATCTATAAACAGCACAACGGTTTCTGTATTGTTCATCTTTTACGTAAGGAAGAGAGGAAGGAAGGAAGTCAATCTATAACTCAGGCTTCAGCCTAAAAGCAACAAATTTTTATGATTTTATTGTTGGTGTTGGGTTAATAATAACAGGTGTAATACCTACATCATTGTAATAAAACATAAAAATACAAAACATTTATTAATATAATATATTATAACATAAGAAAAACTCTTTTAGGTCCAGTTATTGTAATCCATTTGCTTCACAAAAGAATCTTACCTACTTACGTTATAATTACCAGAGGAACAGGATAATGAAAATATTAACAAAAAAAATAGGAAACTAATTACATATTCTTTTATTTGTAAGGTTATTTTTAAAAATAATAATTTTATTTGCTTCTAGTGAACAAAAGGTAACAGATTTTTTAAAATGGTAAAAAGGTAATAACATTTCCTGAAAGGTAACAGATCTGTTACAATTGTAATAGACTGGCAACACTGTTCTAAATTATTCATTTGGCAAGCGGGCCGCGTTCAAGGCCTTCCCGACCTGCCGGTGAGCGTTGCACTCCCGCCAGTCATGGCGGCCAGCAGGAATGCGCCGCCTCCGCAGGAACGCACCGATCTGGTGGCCTATTGGAGCGTGCCCCTGCTCGACGGGGTTCATACCGTGGAGTTCGAACACGGGACCACAACGGGGAAAAGGGTGCTCAGGATTGATGGTAATGTAAGTCAAAAATTTAAAAAAGCATTCATTTTGAAATTCAAGAAAGTTTTAGAATAAAAAAAGGTCAAAGCTTGAAATAAATTAAAAAATATTTTTTTTTTAAATTTCATAACTTGGCTTCAAGTTGGCTTTTTTTACTTGGGTATCATCTTAATACACTCACAGGCAAAATAATCGATGAATTTCAATCACAAATAACTTTTTTATTTGTTTTCGGATTTAAACAAATATTAAAGAATATTGTAGATACATTAATGGAGAATCGCTCACATTTTAAAAATTACTAAAAAATACACGTACGTTTATAATAAACAAGTTTAAACTTATGGTAAAAAACATCTTTTAAAAATGTCTCCGACAGATGTTGCCCTTTGTACTTTACTTCTTGTGACGTTTAAAACACTTGCCACGTAATACTGTGACCGTCCATCCTGGATTAAATTAATGGCTCTGGCAACATCATTCGGAGACATATCCATTTTTTAAAGTAAGAAGACACCTCAAAATTTAAACTTTAATTTGCAAAACACAATTTGATAGCTTTTGAAAGCCGTGTAAGACATGTCCAAGTATGGGATGATTCAAAAAAACTGTCACTGTCATTCTCCATAGCCTATGGATGGACCATAGCAACCTTAGTTCTTCATACAGAAAAATATTGGAAATTGCAATGTTTTTTTAAAAAATCCATATTTTTCACAAAAATAAATATATCGAGGTGAACCAAAAACAAAACTGTTAAGAATAGTTGTGTCTTGATAAATAAAACTTAATTTAGAACAATATACGGTTTTGCCACTCTACAGAGTGTCTTAAACTTATGGTAAAAAACATCTTTTTGTTTAATTCTGTATATTATAAACGTACGTCTATTTTTAATAATTTTTTAAAATGTGAGCGATTGTCCATTAATTTATCTACAATATTCTTTAATATTCGTTTAAATCCGACATCAAATAAAAAAGTTATTTGCGATTGAAATTCATCGAAAATTTGTCTGGATCGATTATTTTGCCTGTAAGTGTATAATAATTATTATTTGTGTACAGTCTAAAAAAGTATAAAAAACCCGATGTCGTTTAACCCTGTCTTAATGACAATTAAGGTTTTAAAATGACGAAAAAGAAAACCGGAAAAATTGGGGAAAAAACCTTTTTTCTACTACCTTACTAGAAAACTTATTTTTCCACCCCCGAACGAGGGAGGAAAATGCCTCTTTTCCTCCCCGGGAGGAAAAAAATTTCCTCCCTCTTTTTTTTTTAATTTTACATTGGCAAGAGTTTTTGTACCTTGTCTAGCCTTATTTGATTTTGTAGGAAAAAGATTTACTCCGCGCTTGTCCAACCATTCTTTTAACAAACTATATTCATATTCACTATTAGATTTTTAAGGAAGGAAATTAATTGCAACTATTAAATTTATGATAAACATTATGACAGCTTATAAAAACTGTTATGTTGGTATTACCAAAAATACCATAGCAACAAAGCGTTGTCAACATAACGTCGGCGACGCAAAACCTACTTAATATTTTGTCATAATTTTTTAGCCCCATACCGGGTAAGTAAAAGGAACCGGACCGCTTAAAATGTCTTAAAACCGTTAAAAGGTAATAGAAAAAACTATATACATACCTCAGGAGGAAAATGCATTTCCTCCCTTGAATATTTAATGCCCTTCGCTTCGCGTCGGGCATCAAACTATTCGCGGGAGGAAATGCAATATTTTCCTCCCATGGTATGTAAATAGCTATTTTGTCGAGTGGTTAATAAATGTTCCATTTCCTCCCACTACCACGACGACGCTACAGTGTGATTGACTTTGAAATAAACGTCAGAATGAAATTAAACGTCAGATTTATATAATTTTGACACAAGTTTTTTTGCGTGTACCCAAGTTAGCCTTTATAGAGTTTAGCTTAAATAACTTAAATTAGGTAACCATACTAACTTAACTGAATTGACTTTAGGAATGTAAACATAAGTTTTTAATTAAACGTTAGTTTTTTTAATTTTCTCAAAATTAATTAATAATTAGCACCTTTCGATAAAAAATATAGTGTTTGCCTTGCGTTGAATCGCAATTACTCCCTCAATGAATTCCTTCACTCGCCTACCGGCTCGCTCGGAATCTTTCTACGGTAAACAATAGGTAGTATACTAGTTTTTTCCGGTTTTTTTCCAGGGCTTAGAAAAATTGGCTTTCTAAAAATATACAAAGCAATCAACAACTTAACAATAATTTAATTAAAAAAAAATATCCTTAATAAATTACAGAAAAAAACAGATAAAACATTAAATTGAATTAATTTAAGAAAATAAACCATAAACGCTAAAAATACTGTCGGTTAAGTTCTCTTTGTAAAAGGGAGTCTATTGAAAATATCCATTTAAAAAATAATGAATGATTTATAAAGTTAAATTATAAAATTATAATTTTTTTAATCCATGTGTGAAATAAAACGATAGTTCTGTTAATACAGCACTGAATTTGTTTTTTTGCGACCCGGTAGAAGATTCTTAGGGGACTTCCATTAATTACGTGAGGCATTTTTCTGATAATTTGGAACCCCCCCTCCCCCTTGGTGAGATTTGGTGAGATGTGGTAGACCCCCCTATACCTTACGTGAGAATTTATCCATTAAACTTTCTATGCGGACAATATGTAAAAAAATGATTAATTTTTTTTAACAAATTTGAATTATAATACATATTTTTGAAACATATATTTGAAAAATTTTCAGAAAAATTGACTTTTTCATTTTTTTTTATAACACCTTTAAATAAAATGAAAACAAATGCAACCGTCAATTTTTATGAATTTTATGAAAAGGTTTCCTTATTTTGTCAATTTCATAGCCATCTTTAAAATTACGAAATAACATACATCGTGGTTAAAAAACAAGAAAACGTATAATTAAGACAAGAATTAAGTAAGTACCTATACCTAATGTATTTTCGGAAAATATATGTATTTGTTTATTAATATTTCTTTTTAAATAAATTAAAAGAAAAATGCATGTTCAATAGGAGTAGGGGAAAGGGGGGCACTTTCAGCCACTTTGTCTTTTTTCATAGATAAAAAGTAGAGAAACAGAATATTTTTTGTCCGTATTATTTTCTACACAATATTAAAGGTCTTTTGTACAGTGCAGCACTTTAAAAATCCAATTTTAGCATCATTTAAGCATTTTGCATGATTATTTAAAAAAAATGCAAATTGGATTATAGTGCCCCACCGATGGGGTACATTAAGCCGGCCCAAGGGGCAGTTTCAGCATAGAAGAAAATAAGGAAGAAAACATGTGTTTTTTTTTCAAACAATTTATTTAAAGGCAAAATAAGGCTACATAAGATATTAACTGCATACTTAGAATTAAAAAATAGTTTTTTACTCAACATTGTACTTTGAAAAATTGAAGTCAAACAATATTAAAGATGATGTTCTTGCAGTTCTTGAAGACTTTGCCTCTGGAAGCCTAGCTATAATGTCTCTACGATCTATCGTGGACTCGTCACTCACTACTGGATAATAAAACTTGTAACGGCTGGCTTTACGGCGAAGAAAAGTGACCTCAAATTCCTGCTGATCATAAACTTTTGTTACTTTTCCTACAAAACATTTTTCCTTTTTCTTAGTTGGAAATTTAACGAGAAGGTAGTTGTCCATAGTAATTATATCGTCATCCGTCAGTAAATATTGATTTTCCGCCTCATCGTCAGAAAACTCTTCACTAACATTATCATCAGAGGCAAGAACCACTGAAACCTCCGAATCTGATGAGTCTGATGATTCACCTTTTTTCAGTTTTTTCACACTGGTTAGTTTTTTTTCTTTACCGAACAGATCTTTTATTACCCTTTTCTTCTGCCTTTCTTCTTGCTTTCTCTTTCTTTCGATTTTGACAGCCTCAATTTCCTCCAAACGATCCTTTTCAGGAGTGTCTGTAAAAATTCTCGATTGCCCTTTACGATTTGTGTTTCCTTTTTTCTTTTGAATGCATGGTGTGGGAAACGGTCTCACAACTTCTGGTGTTAATAACTTGCTTGTTGATGGCACTGACAGGGTAGCTGCTTGATCTGCAGGTAAATATTTATAAAATGGATAACAACATAATACAAATTATAAAATACTAACCTTGAGATTTCTCTTCTTGGGCATGGAAGTCATCTTTTTGATTTTGAAGCTCTTCAACATCACTTGATTTTGCAAAGCTAGGTAAAAATTCTTCTTCCTTAAAGGCCAGTCTATTCAGAGGCCACAAACCAGGTTTTTCAAACGAATTGGTAATGTTTTTTTGCGTAAAACCTTCAAAAAATGCATGTTTGGTTAGAGCTGCTATTTGCTTTATTGTTATAGTTTTTCCTGGATTGCTTATTAACCAGTCATTGAAGGCCGTAGCACAATAGTTTTTAAAAGGACCATAAACGCCTATGTCTAATGGTTGCAATTTGTGGGAGGTGTGAGGAGGAAAGGAAATCATTACTATCCCATTCTCCCTACAAAAATTAATTGCTTTGACTGTTATGTGGGCCTCATGGTTATCTAGAAGCAGAAGTATCTTATGATCCTTTGTACATTGTGTGTGGTTCCTAAGGTGCTTTAACACTGGAATAAATAGTTCACCAGTCATCCAACCATTGTGACTTCCCAGGGCAATACTAGACGTTGGAGCACCATCTAGATAATCATCGGGGCTGCGAATTCTGGGAAAAACGTAAACTGGTGGGAGGGCTATTCCAGCTGCACTAATAATATCCACAAACGTGGTCAGTTCACCCCTCTCAGCCGATGCAACAATACTGACTTGTTTTTTGCCTTTCTCAGAGACAATCTTTACTGGCTTGAGAACTGTTGTGACACCAGTCTCATCCAAGTTAAATATTCTTTCTGGACGGAAATGGTGCTTTTCTAAAACTATGGCGTAATTTTCAAAAAAGATGCCAACACTTCTTTTATTAAAGCCGGTTGATCGAGCTAAGCTTGTATTCTCAGGCTTCCTAAGGCTAATTTCCTGTCTATTTCTGTTCATGAAGCCCTTAAGCCAATCAATTCCCGCTTTTTTGTTGGTTTCCCATTGAACGGGAATTTTAAGTTTAAGTAAACTGGCATAATCATATGCCAGCACACGAATGTTTTTATAGGTGAGCCCATAATTCATATTTGAGCAAGTTTTAACATACTTCACTAGCTCGTTTTCTTGTTCCTTAGAAAATACCTGATTAACTGTATATTTACTAGAGTAGACTAAAAAGTCTTCTTCACTCTCTTGACCTGAGTCGTCGGCAAACTTTTTTTTTAATTCTTCAAGGTTATATTTTATTTTTAATTTCCTAATTCTGCACTGAATGGTACCTCTTTTAATACCATATACTATCGCAGCTCTGCGTTCAGATAACTGGCCATTAATAACAGCTGCTATAGCTCTTTTCATGTTATCTTCATCAATACTTGTTCTGTTTGTTTTTGTTTTGTAATTTCGAACCATCTACAAACCAAATAATGATTAAGCCAGGCTGAATGTAGCCTGTGGGGTACATTCAGCCAGGCTAAATTTAGCGTGTGGGGTGCATTCAGCCAGGCTGAATGTACCCCCACAATCGTGGCTTAATGTGCCCCATGTGCATCTTGACCAAAACACCATGAACAACTCCCGCCGGTTGAATTTTTAGGTTAGAAATTAATAATGGTAATAACAAGTGATGTTTTGTCTTAATGTTGCCATAAACAGTTTAAAAAAGATAACTATAATACACTTTATACTACTTAAAATCCAATTTGTTTAAAACCTACCTTGGAAGCTAAAAAGTAAAAATTACTTTGTCACAAACAAACTAACCACCACTTTTACTCAGAAACTTTTCTAAACACAGAATAACTTATATTGCTACACCTTCAAACCGCCTCAGGCGCCAAATTCAATTTTTGTCAGTTTTAGAGGGGGTGGCTTAATCTGCCCCATGGATGAATCTGCCCCCCTTTCCCCTAGGTACCTTTTTTATGTAGAAAACTCATAATTTTTATATTGTGTAGCCAACAAAGAAAAATTCACACAAAAAAATTTGGGGCTAAACACTAATACACTCATACATAAAATTTTTGAATGTTATTGTTATTTTTAAATTCAGCATCAAAAGTTAAGTAAGCATACAAAATTTCAATATTTTAATAAAAAACCATCTTTAGGGGCGCCCCTTTAAAAGGCTGCAGCTCCCTTAGGGGCCATTTGCCACATATGTTCATTCTCTCTCATTTTCTTCCTATTTTTGTCTTTAGAAATCACGTGTATTACACGAGTATTACACACTATTTTCTGGACACCCTGTATATACAGGGTGTTACCAATGGCGGCTTGTGGATTTGGGGTATACCAATATTTCAGTTATTAGACATGGGACCCACACCAAATTTATTATTTAGTTTATAATGACATTAAATAGAAAAGTTCGGCGCTTACAGAATTTAAATTGAAGTTTGCAAAAAAATTTAGTTTTTCCTGTCGCCTCACCCGCCTCCAGGCCCCCCTATTTAAGATAATTCAAATTAAAGTGGTGCAATTTATTGTCTACTATAATTTATTGACAAATTTAAAATTTTATTTAAAAAATCCAAATATTACAGATTTTATTCGATTTAAAATTTTTATTATTTATTTTGTTAAAATATAAAAATGTTTAAAATGGTATAAAACCTGTAATATTTGGATTTTTTAAATAAAATTTTAAATTTGTCGATAAATTATAGTAAATAATAAATTGCACCACTTTAATTTGAATTATCTCAAATAGGGGGCCTGGAGGCGGGTGAGGTGACAGTAAAAACTAACTTTTTTTCGCAAACTTCAATTTAAATTCTGTTTGCGCCGAACTTGTTAATTTAATGTCATTATAAACCCATATAAATTTGGTGTGGGTCCCATATCTAATAACTGAGATATTGGTAAAAATAAAATCCACCAGCCGCCACTGGGTGTTACTCAAGTATGTCCAATAAATTTAACAGACGATTATTTGGATGATTTTAAAACAAAAAGTTCTTACAAGGGTGTTAAACTTTAACCTTAACGAATATTTTTGACATTAAAATGTACGCCACTGACTTTTTTGTTATTTACATATTTTTTTTCGGATTAAGCAACTAAAATTACAAATTTTTTGTTTCCTGAATTTTTTTCGTATTAACTTTTTTTTTTCTCTCACAAACATAATTCAAGAGATAAAAAGTTATATTTTTAGCTACTTTATCCGAAAAAATACAAAAAGTCAGTGGCGTAAATTTTTTTGTCCAAAATTTTTGGGGTTAAGGTGCCGCTCGGGACGACACTGGACCTAATAAATTTAATCAATTACAACAAAATTGGGTAAAGAATACCTATTTAAGATATTTACGAAAAACCAATTAAAAAAAAGTTTAACACCCTGTATCTATAAAAGCAAAAACCTGAAATACTGGAAAATTATTTATATTTATTAATAATTAGCAATTAGCTAATTAGCAAAAAATATAATGTGATTTTTTTACCAATCTGGTTTTTGCTACAAAAGCTTTTTAAAAGCATACAAAATATTCAAAGCTTAATAGATAAATATGGATAGTTCGGTATCTAAGGGTGTGCCTTATTGCGGTTGCCCTTGATTTTATTTAATTACAATGCTTAAGTTATTTAGTTAAAAAACTATTCAGGAGTTGTTTTCAAGGTTGATAATGTCTTTCCCAATCGTTCTTATAAAAGAATTTTTGTTAATAAAAATAAATAAACTAAAAAATTGGAATGAACTAAATTTAAAGATTAATCCCGACGCATTCGCCATTTTTGACAATATTTGCTCTTTGTTTTGATTTGGTTCTAGCAATATTGCTCCTGAATTCATTTTTGTTTCAAAGGTAATTTTTACTGTTTCAGGAAATTTTCCGGAGAGACTGGATGTTCAAACTTGTGGGCGATGAACAATTTACTTTAGGGAAACAAAGGGCCCAATGCGAATTAAGAGTTGATCCGTTGCCACATTTTTCATTTTCTTATAGTCTTTATGTCGATGGAAAACCGTTGGAAAAATTCACGGAAAAACAAGTACAAACTATCAGATCTTGGGCTGTTTTAGTAGCTGGCAAACGGTTTAGAGTCGTTTTTGGTAAGATGTTAATGTAAATTTACCGCACGCAGTGCAGTAAAAACCTACTTGCCACACGGTATCAATTTAACGCACGGTTAAATATTTTTTTTAGAAAAACAGGCGCTGAATATTTGGGTAAATGGGCATAATATAGAGGCAGAAAATGTATTCGTGAGTGATGGAACGGAAATGAGGTTTGAACTAGAAACATCACAATTGTGAGCTTAAGCTGTTATAAAAGCAACTACGACAGAAAAGAAACAGGGAGTTATGCATCAATTGTTCGTAGATGGAAAATTGATAAACGAAGATTCATTAACCTAAGTAAAAATACTAAAAAAATGTAAATACAGTGTTGTTATTAAAAATAAATAATTTTTTGCCTGTGTAAAATGATTCCTATTATTATTTACCGCATGTATAAAAAAATTAAACAAAAATAAAATCAAAAAAATTTTCCGGTACCGGGAATCGAACCCGAGCCTCCTGGGTGAGAGCCAGGTATCCTAGCCACTAGACCATACCGGAGTATAAGAATTAAATGGTATGCTTTTATTTAAAACAACTTTCGAATAATCCATGCCACCAAGCATACAGGTTGCTGCATAACGGGTTGCCAACTGCAAGAGTTTCTTTTTTTCCCCTAAATAAGTTTTTTTTAGTTCTTCTAGGGTGGTCCAGTATAAACATTCATTTTAAGGCGCCCGTCAAAAAATTTTACAAGAGTAGTTTTTTCTCTAAATAATCTAAAAATGTATTTATTATTTTAAAATTTTTAATAGTCCACATCTTTTGAGTTGTAATTCTTATTTCTTTGCATAGGTATTAAATTTTTTTCTTTAAATAAAGAATTGAAAAATTTAAAACATATTTATTTTATTTTCAACTGGATTTTTCACCGACTCCGAAAAATTAAAATCCGTTTTTCTTTGAAACTTATTTTTTCTCAGTACGCCCTCGATATGTATACATACATATTTTCTGAATAAGTTTGTGTAAAAATATCTTGGAATAAAAAACTAAAACTTACTTTTACAATGGATTATTTTTTAAATTTATTGGGAAAAATTAATCTATTTTTTAATTTTTAGAAAAATACTAAAAATAAAAAGTTAAAATAAATAAATTAATCCATGTATGCTATTCTAAAAATTTATAATTGTTTTATTTATTGATGAAAATTTGTAACAATTTTTTTAATACCTACATGTAGGTATTTGCAAAGCGAAAATATTAGTTTAAAAGTAATTCCTACAAATTAAATTCCAAATTTTGGAAAGGATAGTTGCTGTATTTTTTGTAACAAAATTGTTACAAATTTTCATCAATAAATACAACAATTATAAATTTTTAGAATAGCATACATGGATTATTTTATGATCTTTCATAACTTTTTATTTTTAGTATTTTTCTAAAAATTCAAAAATAGATTAATTTTTCCCAATAAATTTAAAAAATAATCCATTGTAAAAGTAAGTTTTAGTTTTTTATTCAAAGATATTTTTACACAAACTTCTTATTCAGAATTTTTATTGTATAATATATTGTTAAGTAGTCAGTTATTAATCAATGATATCATATTTATTGAGAAATTAAAAATCTTTATTAAAATAAATTAAAACTTTTTGTATTTTGTAGGTATATTAAATTACACTTAACTTAAGGATATACAATATTTTGGTGTTAATTATAAAGTTAATCTGTTTTTTGTTTATAACAAACAGTTCCCCCTTATTTTCTTAGTTTCAAAAGAAATGTAATAAAAGGAAAATAAAACACTAAGCATGTTTGTCAAAGAATAAAGTTGTATTATTCCAAATTTTTTACATTTTTTTTTATTAAATAGCCACAAAACTTAACTCAAGCTATACTGCTAGCATTGGAAGCAATCCTGGGCCACAAGTCTGCACATTCTTTCGCAACAGGTCCTGTGATAGCCGATCCTTTCATTTCTCCTTTGTTATTCACAATCACCCCTGCGTTATCTTCAAAGTAAATGAACACACCGTCCTTCCTGCGGAATGGCTTACGTTGCCTGATCACTACTGCAGGCATTACCTTCTTACGAAGTTCTGGTTTACCTTTCTTTACTGTGGCTACAATCATGTCACCAGAACCAGCAGCTGGCAGACGGTTCAAACGACCGCCAATACCTTGTACGGCAATTACATATAAATTTTTGGCACCTAAAAACAACAATAACAGTATTAAATCAGTCTAAAAATCCTTACTAACTACATTTCTACACATTATGGCGCATATCAGGCTGGCTGTGCAAAGTGACTGAACATTTTAAATAATCTGCAAGGCCTTGTAAACTTAAACTTCATTTATACCAAAATCAAGACTGCTTTGACAAAACATGAATACTTTTAATTAAAACAATCAAGCATGCAAATACTAGAATCTAGAATGCTTTGACAAGGCATTTATTGACCCTTAAAACTTGACATGTGCATAATAGCAATAATACAAAACAAATATTTTTTTGGGTACTTACCGGTATTGTCGGCGCAGTTAATTACCGCTCCTACTGGCAAAGCCAGGGAGATCCTGAACTTGGCTCCGGCGGAACCACCACGTCCTAAAAATTACAAAAACAAAGTTAGAACACATAACCTATAACTCACATTATGGAATAATTTTGCTTATTCTCGACCATCGTTCGATATATACATTAAAACGTATAGCGATCGATGTAAAGAAACGTTGGAAATGTTTAAATTAACACTTTTTTAAAGGATTATTAAAATATTTTAAGATTTAAGCGGAAAAAAACATCACTCACCTCTCTTAGACATTTTGGATGAGTGAAAGAAGGAGACTTGCGCAGTTGCGTCGACGTTGGTTTTTTGACAGTTGCCGGCCGTGCATTTCCATTTAAATTTTCGCGGTAATGTCAATAACGACAAATAATATTATGTTTAATCGAAATTAATTAATAAAACATTGAAAATGGATCCAAATGTTGAACAAATTAAGCAAGCTTCTGGCGACAAAACAAACTCATTTGAGGATATCATTGAAATCGACGAAATAAAACAATGTAACGAAAATGAAAATAAAAATATGGAAGAAGATAGCGAAACCACCATTTATAAGGATATTCAAGATCTGGAGGAGGCAATAACCGAACAAATACAGGAAATTAAGAAAGTTTGTGCGGATTCTGATGAGCTATTATCCATTCAGGAGTCGTTATCCCTTAAGGAGTCGTTATCCCTTAAGGAATCGTCATCCATAAAAGATTCATTATCCATTAAAGTTTCAACCACATCTAAAGAAACAATTTTACAAAATATCGAATATGCCGAGTCAAAAACAAGTGTAGCATCAAATAAATCAACAATTGAGCCTAAAATTAAAGAAAGATTTTCTTCAAGACTTTGCGTTGGAAAAGGAAATGCTTGTAAGTAAAATACAGTGTTCCTACACCGAACAAGGAATATTCCTTAATTTTAAGAGTGATGTACAAATGAGAGTAATATAGGTATAATCGGGTATAAATGAAACATATTATGATAATATTACAAATTATGTAATGCTATATTTTCCTTTCAAACCTCGAAAACTGGACGTTTCAGAAATTTTATTTTTGAGGCACAGCATTTAAATTGTTTTTTGAAGTTGTTTAACGACTTTGATATACCTACCTATTATAGGTTATATAGTTTGGTTTTTTAATCATGACCCTCACGTGACATATGTAAGGATATAGCTCAGACATTCGTATTGTTTTTCCACGCCGCAGGACCACTGGGACGTAGCATATAGCGATAGATAAACGTATGTCTAATAATACCACAACATGCGTTCTTTATGTTTATATTTTTATAATAATGGGATCGACAAAGATAGCTAAATGCACAAATGTCTACAAAACTTTGACAGCCTGTCATCATTGGTGTTCTTGAATTTTTTAATATTTTCCATAATTTGCCTATTTAAATTTAGATGAAACCACAATGGATTGTGGATGAAACTTGGATATTTGCTAAAGGAAGCCATACAAGATCCTGGCAAGACTCATCCACAAAAAGTGTACGCAAACCAGAAGGTTATAATGAAAAACGTTTCATTGTGTTGCATGCTGGTAATGAAAAAGGTTTTATTCGCGATGCCGCATTGGTTTACTGCACAAGGTCCAAACTGGCGGATTATCAAATGGTTGCAAGAACAATTCATCCCAAATTTAGAGGAACCTTCTCTAATTATAATGGACAACGCGTCTTACCATAGCGTCTTAATGGAAAAACAACCAACGGTTTCATGGACTAAAAACAAAATTAAGGAATGGTTGGAAGAAAATAATATACCATTAAATAATGATATGTTCAAAGTAGAACTTTTAAATTTATAGAGGAATGGTACAATAAAGAAAGAATCTTGGACGATGATCATGGTCATGAAATGATAATCCACATTGGTAACGACGATGAATCGGAAGATGATAGCGATTAAGATATCTTATATATAAATATTAACATATTAATAGATGAAAATAGATCCTTTTAATGCAGTTAAGAGCATTTATCATTAAATTATTAAATAAACCAATTTTTTTCAGAGTATATTGCATTTTACTATTAAACAAAAATTAGACGTCTCATTTTTGTCTCCATTTGAGCTTATTGGTGCACTGAAAGAAATATATGTTTGTTTTAGCAATGTATGTGGTAGTCCATATATATGAAACATAAAATATATTTGCCTTAACCATATTATGTTAAAACTAAATATAAAAATGGTTAAGGGAAATATATTTTATGTTTCATATATGGACTACCACATACATTGCTATATATAAAACAAACATATATTTCTTTCAGTGTGTGTGCAATCTCCACAACTAAATGATTATATAAAATAATATCTTAACCATTGTGCATTATACAAATATTAATATTTCCAAATTAATTAACATACATATTTTGAAAATTTGCAAAGTATATGGAATTTTTTAGTAGTAGAATAGGTACCCTTAATTTTCTCCACGCAGAATGGGTAACGCAAACTATATAATTTAAAATTACAATAATTTAATAGATATATATAAATTACAACGTTTCATTTAATAATATAATTACATAAGAGTTACTGTTTTAATAAATTTGCACGTTCAAATGAAGGATTTAAGTTAAAACGAATCATAATATGGTTTAAGCCAGGCAAAATACGATTCTCATATTTTGATTCGCAACCCAAGCACAAACGTGTATAATGGACTGCATACGTATACAACATTTCGAACCCCAAATAAAACTCCACGATACGCCACTGATATTGCCCTCGATTTGATTCAGTTGCTTGACATTGTTGCCGTAGGGCTCATGACTTAAAAATTCAACTATAGGCTATAATAGCCTGTATAATTTTAAATATGAATCTTTTTTGAGGTTGTGACCCACATCTTGTGAGTAATTTAAAGTTTAAAGTTTATGGGTATAAATTTTAAACCCAGAAACTTTTAAAAGTAAATTGGTAAAATCAGATGGCAACACTGGTAAAGTAGTTTAAACGTTCAGTACATGGAGGCTCCATGGTTCAGTAGTTCAAACCACATAACCTAACTTTATTGACGTTTAAAGCCATTTTACTAAAATAATCGCATATTTTTAAACCAATGCTTAACACTATGGCTTTAATAGACAGGGTTCAATTGGAACTTGGAGGTAGCTAAATAATAGTATTGTATCAAGAAATAATAACTATTTTTGATTATTTTTAGCCCAGGAACCTTGGCCAAAAGATGCAAAACTGTATCAACCCTACGAAGTCGAACAAATACTTCTTTCAGACAATGCAAATTGTCTTGCAGTACAAGCGTTTTTGAAAATGTGTAACCTAGATTTTGTTGTTGAACCCAGAGCTAATGCAGAAGCAATGTCTCCTTCTGGAAAAGTGCCATTTTTGAAGGCTGGTGCGTTTGTAGTGTCAGAATTGGAGGGTATAGTTTCGTTTGTGAACAATAAAGGTATTTCGTTGACGGAGAAGTTTGATCAAGAGGCAAAATCAGACATGAGGGCTTACATGTCTTTGGTGCACAATGTTATTGAAGTTGCTGAGGTAAGAATATTAATAGGTAAGAATTTGTAATTAAAGTATTTGCTCACTACAACCCCCAAGAAATCTCCCCCCATTAGTAAGCCATGTTTGGGGCAACCTGTATGAGTACGGGAATTTAAAAAAATAATGTAGTTATTGGTAAATATTTGTTTTTTATACATGTTGCCAACTTTTATGTCCTCAGTTTAGTTCAGAGTACTTATAATAAATTTTACTAATCTTTATAAGTAGGTACTGGACTTTTTATGTACCTACTCAGTCCATTTGTATCATTTAAGGAAAAGTAAATGAATCAATTATTTTTCCTTTTTATGTACTTAGTATTACTTAATACTTAAAAAATTGTATTTTATAGAACTTTACTTTTAATTTGATAACACTTTGGTTTGAGTAAATTATTTTATTTTATAGTTGTATATATCATGGGTGGATAAGGAGACGTACAATGAAGTTACAAGCGTACGTAATGGTTCAATTTATCCATGGCCTTTAAACCACATTCAGAACAGAGCCAAAAGAAACCAAGTAATCAAAAAGTTAAAAGTACTTCAGTGGTACAAGAAGAGTACCAAGGAAGTATTAGAGGAAGTGGAAAATTGCTGTCAGGCTTTAAGCGACCGTTTGGAAGGAAAAGAATACTTTTTTGGAACAAGGTAATTTATTTTTTACTGTATTGTAAAGTCTATGGCACGCTGTTTTAGCATTCATTAGATAATAGTTTGAAGATTAAAGTTTAGTTTAGTTTTAACAGAAATATACAAACTTAAATTTTTTTAAACTCAAAACAATTTATATTAAAAAATATTTTAAATATAAATTACAACTGTAAAATATTCATTTTTAATTTTTTTTTAATTTTAAAAATATTACAGCCATTCCACGTTACTCGGGAATTTTTGTAGCGTCCGTTACAATCAAAAATTGTGAGTAAAACTACCGAAATTATGATGCTTATAAGTTTAAGCCTAATTATTACAAGCATAATAAACATGTTTGCAATAGTAACTATTGTAAAAGTATTTAATTTAATTACGGTAGCTTTTACCCACAATTTTTTATTGTAACGGACGCTACAAAAATTCCCGAGTAGCGTGGAATGGCTGATTAATACAAATATTATCGGTTTAAATTTGTAAAGAGTCATTTAAATGATAGTTGATAAATTTTTAATACAAAAATTGTCACATTACATTTAAATGTAAGTTTTTAATTTTAAAGTGGTAATTTTCGGATTAAAAATTTATTGACTATCATTAAAATGTGGACTAAAATATTAAAACTACAATTTTTAAAGACCAATATTTCAAACTTTTACATTTGCATTTTAAATTTAAAATAACTTTTGATTATCAATTGTTTAACTATTTCAACTATTTATGTTTTATATGTGTTTTTATTTTAAATGTCCTGACACTATTTGAATTGCCGGAATGCACAACCGACGCAGCGCGGGGCCAGTAGGCTACCGCACGGAGACCGTTCAATTTCAACAAAATTCTTTAAATTTAACTCGCGATAACTCCTTAACTAAACGTGCGATTTTTATGAAATTTGGACAGAATTCTCATATTGGTGCAGCGATGCTATTAAAATACAAAATACAAAATTTCAACCACAATTAATTAATAAATGCATAAATATTATTTAAGTCATAACTATGCTTAAACTAGTAGATTTTTATAAATTATATTTATATGGTTTTTTTTCTTGGTAAAATAAAGAAGTTTTTCTCCAAATTTGACAATTATATGGGGGATTTAATTCTGTGTTAGCTAACGCAGAATTAAATATGGCGGATTTAATTCGAATTAAGATCTGTGTTAGCTAACGCAGAATTAAATAATAAAAATGAATTTAGTGTAATTGTCCCTTCTACGCCTTCGTAATGTATGTATGTATGTTATTTATCTAAAAAAATTACTTACATTAATTTAAAAAAAGTTATTCATTGCAAGTCAATCAAGCACTGATCGTGGATTAAATTTTTGACATTTTAATTAAATTTTATTGCTTTACCGTAGGTAGCTAGAAGTAAATATTTAATATGACATATACATATACATATACATATACATTGTATTAAAAAATGTCACAAACGTCAAAATTTTATATTCTATTTAAAATTCTAGACGTATATATGCCTTATAGAGCATTTAATGCGCCGTATCTACAGAAATTACATTTTTAGAAAATCAGCATTTTCTGGTTTACTCTATGCCATCGACATTTTTAATGATAACAATTTAATTTTTAATCAGTTAAAAAACTGATTCCAGGAATAGATGCAGAATGCATCGTTCTATTTATAAGGAAATGCCGTAAACCGAAAATCGTTAAATTGTTGGTTACGGCGTTTTTATTAACCACGGCAGATTACCATTATTATGTGCTTGTTGTAACTACCTACATAAAGCCATAAGAATATTAATTGTGGTCAAAATGTGACAGACTTCATGCAAAAGCCAACAAATCTGAAGAAAAAGATCGAAGAATAATAGTTTGTGGAAAGCAAATGTTGCTAAAAAGTTAAATCATAAGGTAATCATTTTATTTCAAAATAAAATTCCTGTTTTATATTGTACAGTGTACACTGTACAATGTAAACACATTAATTAATAATTACTTATAATAAATGATTTGTTGCAATTAAGTTTTTTACGTGATAAATCGAGTTTAGTTTCGATTCTCGTGTTGTCTTTACGCGCGCCGCCGCGGGCTCTTTTATTTATTTGTATTACGGCTATAATAATTAATCAATAATTGTCAAATTTGGAGAAAAACTTCTTTATTTTACCAAGAAAAAAACCATATAAATATAATTTATAAAAATCTACTAGTTTAAGCATAGTTATGACTTAAATAATATTTATGCATTTATTAATTAATTGTGGTTGAAATTTTGTATTTTGTATTTTAATAGCCAGGGCCGGCATCTTTTCATTTTGACTTGTGGTGCTCATCTACAGTTGGTTGGTAGCAGTGGTTAATGGAAGGGGAGTGTGGGTGTTCTTTTCCTTGGGGGTTGCGGGAAGAAGAACAAAATAAAATTGGAATAGTTTTTTAGTCAATTTATTTATCAAACTCAGTCACATTTTATATACAGGGACAGCACACTACTAATTTTAGCACTAATATATCCCCCCCGGAATGATTAAATTTAGTTTAAATAGTTTTTTCGACAGTGCTTATTACGCCAGATATTTTAAAGTTTCAAGTTAAAAAACTCACCCTGTAATGGAATCGAATGGGATAGGTATATTACTGCCACATCGGACGTTTTTAGGGTTGAAATCTGCCACTTCTTGGATTAAGGGTTACCAGCATCAAAAATCCGGGTTTAAAATAATCGTTCTAGATTTTTTTTTACGAGAGACAATTAAAACAGAGTTACTCTAAGATTCGAACTAACTTACATTTGTTGATAAAAAGTCGGGTCTATCCACTAACACAATTGGTGGTAGCACACACGAACTCAGAGATAATAAACAAACCGCACGAACTGTAAATAATAATAATAATATAACTCAAAGTTTGGTGGGTTACCGTCGGTATGGTAGAAATACCCTAAATACACGTCGCGACGTGTCGGTATGTTATTCCTACTATATCAAGATACATACACTTATACATATATAACGACCGACTTTTATACTTTAAACTTTGGATTCCTCAGCTTCAACCGTAAATTTTTAAAGGGCGTTGGTGTGTATCCCAGGCTAGCAGGATAAAAAATTTAGAGACCGCTAAAGAAATGCAATTTTTCTGCTGAAGATACGTATAGTGCTGAGCACCACCATTTTCCTATACGTGTGGTGCTTGAGCCCGCGAGCACCGCTATTGTCGCCGGCCCTGTTAATAGCATCGCTGTACCAATTTAAGTATTCTGTCCAAATTTCATAAAAATCGCACGTTTAGTTAAGGAGTTATCGCGAGTTTAATTTAAAGAATTTTGTTGAAATTGAACGGTCTCCATGCAGTGGCCTACTGGCCCCCGCGCTGCGTCGGTTGTGCATTCCGGCAATTCATTTGTAAACACTAAAAATTTTAATTTACCAATTTTATCTAAATAATTTTATAAAATTTTTATTTAAGATTTACAAAATTCTGCCTAAATAAATTATACTAAATTATTTTCATTAAAAAATGATGGTTAGAAATTTTTGCAAAAATTGATAGGAAATAATATTGTTTAATACAGAATTGAACTGTTAGTAAATTTTGTCTTTCAATACATGATAGTTAAAAATAATTTAAAGTTATAAATGTTAACCTAAAATTTTTAGTTAAAAAGATTTTAAAGTAATAAAAATTTAAATTAAAAAGTTATTTAATAAATGTTAAAATGGCGTGCTATAAAAGTCCCTGTAAGTACATTGGGTTGTTATATGCCAAATTGGATTTTTCCACTTGGCCATGGTCTAAAGCAATTGTTTATAAACTAAAAATATTTTTTAAACAAAAGTTATTTCTAAAGCAGTTTATGCTTTGTGCTGCCTTATTTAACCATATCCTTACAAAATTCGTAGACAATTTTTTTGCCATTTTTCTAATTTACCAAATTGCAGAAATTATTTAACTTTTAAATCCGCCAATAAAAGCGTAGTATATCTGCTCTATTTGGATCTAGGTAGGCAACCTAAATTACAAATCGATAATACTGCGTTCTCATAGGCGCAATTTGGAAACACCCTGTGTATTTTTATAATATATGTATATAATTTACGTTCTTATTAAGAGCTCAAAATTGAACTAAAATATCAATTTTTTATGTAGAAAATATTAAAAATCATCTACATATAGTAAATTTAAAAGTAAACTACGTACACGTCATCAATCAGCTGATCGGGCACGGTTGTCAATGTGATGCTAAAATCCTTGCATCAAGGGAAAGTGGTAGTGCAACTACAGGGCGATAGATGGCGTTTACATGAATAATACCAAAATGTCAAAAGTCTGAGTTTTTATAACCTATATGATGCACCGCCAAAAGTATGTTTTTAGCCATTTTTAAAGACATTTTCTGATATAAAACCCAAAAATTTTGCCATCTAAAGTCAGTCTCTGGTATATATATTATTATTTCATGTATCCAACATATATTTTGTTAAATATTCTAATATATAATTAATAATAATCCTATTTACCTCTCTAACAGCTGTTAAAGGTAACAAAGGTCCATTATTATCCCGTTCTGCCTCAAAATAGCGTATTAAGGATGACACCAACTCTTGACTCCGACTATTTAAATGCTTCGGCATTTTAAATATAGGAAACCCAAAAAAACGATATATAACAAACACAAAAACGGCAATGAAAACTTAAACGATATAAAATAACACAAACAACAAACAAAATAAACGAAATAATACACGAATTAAACGAAATATTCCAAAACACAACTGACAGCTTCGAAATTCTAAAACGTCAAATTCTTTTTTATGTGTCATTTAAATATGAAAAATTTGAATGTAAACATGACAACATCACAATTGTTGCCAACTTAATTTGGTTAAAATGCATTTAAATATTCAATTACAGACTTCGATTTAGTCATTTAGTGTTGGTACCAATGCGTAAAATTTTTGTTTTATTGATGACGTGTACGTAGTTTACTTTTAAATTTACTATATAAAAATAATAATTTAGTTCAAATAATAATAATTTTTAGAACTGGAACAACATCGTTAAAATTTTTACATTAAAAAAGCATCTTTCTTTTTTTTATTTAAAGAGTACAATGTGCTTTTAAAAAAAACCTATAAACTATACGGCCATTCCAAGCCAAATTTGGCTAATACTTCTCATAAATACTCGTAGAAAAAATAAGTAAACTTAAGGAAGTAACAAGAATATATTTAGACATGTTTCTGATGTGTCCTGTCCATGGGCTTGGAATGGCCATATAGCCCATGAGAGAGCCTTGAAAATCAAAATTTCCTATGAAATTGATGATTTTTTTTCTGTAAACCTACATATTATTGTACACTTATGACCGTATGCACAAACGTCAAAATAATATAAAAAAAATTCAAGCATACAATAATCTTCATATTATAAGACTACAAGAATTAATTTTTTTGCTTCAAAATAATTTTTACCTATAAAAAATTGATTTAGATTATGGCCAAGTATATGTTTTTGACGTCTTTTGTGTTGAGAATATCAGGATCAAATATACTTTTTTTTAAATAAATTTCAAATTGAATTAATGACTCTCAAACACAAAAGCTGTTAAAATCTACTAGGTATTTAAAATTGAGGAGTGATTTTTCAAAAGGTCGTATTTCCATTTGCAACAATTTTTAAAAAAAAATGACTATAACCTGTAAAGGTTAAAAAAATTTGATGAATATTTAATAATACTTCAGACCTGCTGTCATATTTCGCCGTTAATATATGCCTTTTAACCATACCTTTGGGATTTTGTCAAAAAATTACATTCAAGTAAAAATGGAAATAAGGCCTTTTGAAAAATCACTCCTCAATTAGGGCTTTTTTGCGTTCTGAAAAATAACATTTTCGTACATAATTATAGTTGTGAGTTGGATGCATTGTTGTATGGGCACGTGCACACTGTTCTTACAAACACGAAAACTGTGGCAATGAAAAAATTGGCCGATGTTATAAAAAAGTTTAACATTATTACTGAACATTGTAGAAGAATTGATGAACAATTTATGAGAAGATCCAGTTGCGTTTATTTTGGTTGAACATTATTTATTAATTCTGTTTTTTTACCACAAATATATTCATATTGGTAAATAAGTAAGCAGTAAATTATTGAGTAATTTTTTTTTTGTAAAAATATGATCAAAATTAAAAAGTCACAGGATAAAAATTAAAATCAAAATAATTATTGTACCTATTGTTTCAGTCCATCTGAACTGGATGCCCTCGTTTTTGGACATCTCTTTACAATACTCACCACACCTTTACCGCGTAATGATTTAGCCAACACCATTAGAACTTACCCTGTATTGTTAAATCTAGTTACAAAAATCGAAAAGCAATATTTTAAACGCGAATAACTATTGTTTAACATTAAAAAAATGTAAAAAGGTATGTAGATAAAATATATAAGTAATAAAAATAGATTTTAATAATAAATATTTTATTTGAACATATTTATGAGTTGTATAATTCATTATCAACTTTAACACCTTTACTACTATCATTTATTACATTTTTTGGGGTTTCTGAGCTGGTAAGATTCTTGAAAACAATTTGCTCGTAAATCTGGCAACCTTCCTCGTTTGTTGACGTACATTTTTTACATGCATAAATTAAAGCTGATATAGATATTAATATAAAACATATAATTCCAATCAAAATATACAACCAGATATATAAAAATGTATTTTGGTTATTTTTTGATGATTTTTTATTACTTGTTTCCCGTGTAAAACTAACAGTATTGTCTAAAAAATAAATGTAATTAATTGTCTTTAAAAATATTAATTTACAATGTGTTCCAAAAATAGGACAAATGAAAAGAAACAAAATAAGAAATATGCGCTTAACAGAATTACAAAAATGACCTGGATTTTAGATATTTTGAAAGATCAAAACTTTAAATTTTAATAATTTTGTTTATACCGTCAGGCATTTTTTAGACATCTGCAAATATATGGGTAATTAATTGAAAAATAAAACTTATTTATTTAATAGCAAAATTATATATTTTTTAAAGTACCTACCTTATACATTTTACAATAAACCTAAGAGATCATTTATTGCCTGTCTAATAATATGTTTACAAAATTAACAAAATTGTATTTTTTAAAGTAATACATTTTACAATATACTTAAGAGATCATTTATCACTTGTCTAATATTTAATTTACAAAATTAACAATTAATTTAATAGCAACTTTTTATTTTAATTTTAAAATATTTTAAAGAAATCTAGATTATTTATTGCTTTTTAAACATATTGCTTAATTTTTTCAAACTTAATTTGTAAATTATTTAAAATTATTATGTAGATAATATCCACCACATATTATGTTAAAAATAAATGTGAAAGTTAAAAAGTAGGAAGATATGCTATGGATAAAAAAAATTTTGATATTCTAAAATTTTAGGTTTAAAAATATTGTAAAGACTTTAGCATGCTGAAATTGTTTTAATAAATCAATAAACCAATAAACCAAGAGGGTTGAAAAAAGCGCCATAGAGAAAGCAAGTGACCTCTTGTATAAAAATGTATCTGCTGTGTATTATGTTATAAAGTATTTAAAAGTTAATATAGTGTTAAAAAATCTGTAATTTAAAAAACTCAAAAGAATCGAACCAGTAAAAAAGCAATTAATTTAAAAAGAAAAAATATGTTTAAAAAATAAATCGAAACTCCTATAATTGACAAAGTTACAGCGAAATGCTGTTTTGTTCTTAAAATTTCTTTTTTTGGCATTAATATTATAATTTTAACAATTAGGTGAATGATAAATATCAAAGTAAAATAAGGCACTAAACAGGAGTACCAATTTAATAAATTCAAAATATCAAAGGGTATTTCCATTGTAACGGGTTAAATATTTAACTCAAACAAAATGTCCATAAAAACTTGTATAGAAAACCTTTTATAACGTCATGTTAAATTTTGAATGAAAGCGTATAGTAATAATTTTTTGTGTAAAACTTGAATAGTAACCTTAAACAATCACAACAATGCATAAATATTGTATAATAATAAAAAACATCTTCAGGGGCGCCCCTTTAAGGGACTAATCCATATTTTCCACTATTTTCAGAACACCCTGCATCATAAGACTTACAATACAAACAAGGTATTATTGTACGATCTTTTATTGTTTTAAAGGTAACATTTTTGTAATAATTTTCTGGGATTCCTTTGGGTATGTAGATCTTACACTTCGCACACCACGACTTTTGGGACACGACTTGTATTTATAGATACAAATTTTTATTGTTTAATCTCCCTGAAAATTGCCTTTTTGACCCAACAGATTGTTTCTACCATGATATAAATAAGAAGGTATGCTGTTCCCAGCCTGACACATGACGTGGAATTGAGGTTAGGTATCTGCCACTGACAGACAATTTGAGGTTAGGTATTTAAAAATATATATATTTATATATATTACCCACACGGAACAATTACATCCAATGGATATCCAATGGATTTCTTTTATGGATATCCAGGATATACATAGGATATCCGGGATATCCAATGGATAACCATTGGATATATAAATGTCCGACCCTCCTGGACATAGTGTGGATATCCAATGGATACCCAGTGGATATAGTATTGTATGCAATAAGGTTGTAATCTGTATTCAATATGGAGATTGTATGGATATCCAATGGATAACCATTGGATATATAAATGTCCGACCCTCCTGGACATAGTGTGGATATCCAATGGATACCCAGTGGATATAGTATTGCATGCAATATGGTTGTCATCTGTATTGGATATGGTGAATCAATGGATATTTACTTTTCAATAAATAACATTGGGTTTCAAAATTATTATTCTTTAATTTAAATATTTATTTTTATGAAAACATAAAATAGAACAGAAAACTACATATAACTAAAGAAGTGCTTGCCATCACTCCTCCAGCTGTCATTTGCCTTTTTATCAGCCTAATCATTTAGGGCCTATTTCACCTGTCTCCTTATGATCCCCAAAATTTGGCCAATCCATCAGCCCATTTGTTTTACATGGCACAATGACTAATGTACCATGCCCACCAACACTGACAGACAGACTGTTTCGACCTGTTGGGTCTCATCAGTGTCAGGCAGTTGGTGCCGAGAGACACGCTTCAAGCCAAGCAACCGCCCACCTATATACTAGTTGGGCGACCTGGACAGCGGCGAGATGCAGCGGCAAGGTAATATGGTGACATTTATCTTCTGTGTTCGCCGGCAGTGTTGTCAGACGTTTAAATAATTTCAGAAAGCTCATCAAAATGGCGGTTATATTATTAAATCTTTAATACTTAATTAATTAGTATACCTAGTATACCTATTTGACATAAATGTGGTGAATAATTATTTTAAATTTATTTAATTTATTTATTAAAACTTAATAAAGTACGGAAATATATTTCGTTTAGTTATTTTGCTTATAACCGACAACACTGAAGATTCTCAAATTCAGCGCGTGCGTAGTACATATATGAAATACAATAATAAACAAAAAGGACTTTTTTAAGTAATTTTTTATTGTATTGCAGACTGTCATAGTCATATTATTAACAGAAATAATATTATTAATATATAAATATTATTATCTGGGTAAAGTGAACATTTCAAAATTAAAAATTTCGTAGCTCTTGGCAAAAAATCAATTTAACGTAAAGTCGTTTTTTTTACATATGCTAGTTTAAACCATCACAAAATCCCACATGTATACATACAAGTATATATACAAGATATCCATATCAGTTATCCACCGGATATCCAGTGGATATCCAGTGGATATACATTAGATGTACAGTGGATATACTTTGGACATACATTAGTTATCCATTGGATATATATTAGAGATACTTTGTTGAAATTGGGTTAATAACGATTTAAATCATATTTATTAATCATTACATAAATTTATCCTATAAGGGGCTATTTTAAAAAAGAAAAAAATATTTTTAATGTTTTTGTTTTTATTTGAACATCCAGTATGGATATCCATCGGATATCCAGTGGATATCCAGTGGATATACATTAGATGTACAGTGGATATACTTTGGACATACATTAGTTATCCATTGGATATATATTAGAGATACTTTGTTGAAATTGGGTTAATAACGATTTAAATCATATTTATTAATCATTACATAAATTTATCCTATAAGGGGCTATTTTAAAAAAGAAAAAAATATTTTTAATGTTTTTGTTTTTTTTTTGAACATCCAGTATGGATATCCATTGGATATCCAGTGGATATACATTAGATGTACAGTGGATATACTTTGGACATACATTAGTTATCCATTGGATATATATTAGAGATACTTTGTTGAAATTGGGTTAATAACGATTTAAATCATATTTATTAATCATTACATAAATTTATCCTATAAGGGGCTATTTTAAAAAAGAAAAAAATATTTTTAATGTTTTTGTTTTTTTTTGAACATCCAGTATGGATATCCATCGGATATCCAGTGGATATACATTAGATGTACAGTGGATATACTTTGGACATACATTAGTTATCCATTGGATATATATTAGAGATACTTTGTTGAAATTGGGTTAATAACGATTTAAATCATATTTATTAATCATTACATAAATTTATCCTATAAGGGGCTATTTTAAAAAAGAAAAAAATATTTTTAATGTTTTTGTTTTTTTTTGAACATCCAGTATGGATATCCATTGGATATCCAATGGATATCGTAAAAGGCATGGATGTTATATGGACATTGGGATAGCCATTGGATATCCATTGGATAGCGTGTTCTGTGTGGGTAGGGTGTGCCAAAAAAAACTCGAAATAGTTTTTTTCTTGCTCTCCACCCAAAATATCGTAGAATATGTCCGAACAAATATTCTGTTAAAAGCGGAGCTCATAATTTCAATTTTAAGAGGTCCCTCATCGAATCTGAAGTTCTGCCGCTTAAATAGCACAGAAAACTGACCTTTTTACCTTATTTATTCTTGCAACCTAGGAAGAAATTTTTTTTTTCATAAAATCCATGACCAAATCTTACAAAGCATTAAACTTGGACGAAAAAATCTTATTAAGCCGAATTTCTATTTTCATTATTTAATTTTTTACAGAGCTTTAAATTTAAAATTTTACGTTTTTTGCCTTTTTCATCTAAACTATTGAAGTTAGACGAAAAAGTCAAATGGTAATTTTTTAGCTTGTCTGATGGACCACAAAAAAGTTTTAGGCGAATTTTTT